CTTTCCTCCCGCAGACGGCTCCAGCGACGCGGGCAAGGAGCTGGGCGGCGAGGGCCAGTTTGGGGCCAAGCGCACCTCGGACGACGAGCTGGCGGCAGCTGGTCAGGCCAAGGTTGTGATCGAGGAGGTGAGGCGGGGGAGGCGAGGAGGGCGGGGGGCCCGGATGGGCTGGCGCGTGTGTGCTGCTGCTGCTGGCGGGCAGGACGGTGCAGTACAGGCCCAGTACAGGCCCCTGGCTTTGCACCCGCGTGTGGAAGCGGTGGGAAGGGTGCTGGCCTCCCAACACTCCACACACATGTCTGCCTGCGGCTGCAGGTGACGGAGGTCTGAGTGCCTTGGCTGCCGCGCCCTCTGCGGGGCCACACCCGCACCTTCCATCCGGCTGCCCGCTGGCAGCGCCGGCTGCACCCCTACTGACCGATGCCCTGCGGGCAGGCTGCTGCTTGCCAGGCTGCAGCTCAGCCCACAGGGCAACCCACCCACCACCCTACCTCCTGAGAACCTTTTTTTCGGAGCGTTGTTGGCGCGCAGCCGCGCCCCGCACCAAACCAAACTCAAGATGCCAGCCAGCCCTGCGCTCTCACACGCCCCCTCCACAATTTCTTGCCGAGCGCAGCCAGTGCCTTTTCCCAGTCCCTGCCGCACAATCCATATTCTTTTATTGCTCCTGCCAGGCGCAGCAGCACCACCCCCGCCAGCTACCACATTTCACCTGCCACCCTGCTCTACTCCTATTGCCGTCCCTTGCCATTGGGGCCATTGCCCTGGTGGTTGTTGTCAATCAGACCCTCTCTCTGCCACGCGAAGCACACATTGCATAATTGTAATGGAAGGCAGAGTGCATAAATTCGGATCGGGGCTAGGGAACTGCAGCTGCAAATGAAATGTCGCCTGAAGGAGGCGTCAAAGGGTTGCAAGTGGGGTCCTCAGGCTGTGAGGGGCGGCTGTAGGCATGGGGAAGGCGGTCGAAGCTCCCGGGGTCACGAACAGAGAAGACATGGGGTGGCGCTGTCCTGGCTCCAAGCGAGAGAGCTGGGGAGGCTCGGGGGCACCGGAAGGGCACTCTTCTGTCCCTCACAGGCGCACTAGGAGGTGCCCTCTTCGATGCGCAGCCGCCTGCAGGGCAGCCGAGCCAGACCGCAGCGCGCACGCCATGCACGGCGGTCAGGCCACGGCTCCAGCTGGCACCCAGGTGTCCTGTACGACTCGCTGCCAGCCGCTGCCCGACCAGCCACAGCACGTGCCATCGCCGCACAAGCAGGCAGGCTCGCTCACCGCTTGAAGTCATCCACCATCTTGAGCAGCCCCTCCTGCAGCGGGATCTGCAGCGGGGGCAGTGCGCGGGGGCGGGAAAGCGACCCACCGCGGGGTGAGCGCAGGGCATGGGCCCGTCTGGGCAGGCAGGCAGCAGGCAGCCGCGGTGGGCAGCCGACAAGCACGGCAGGCTGCTGGCGCCAGGGGGCTGGTGCCGGGGGGCTGGCGGCAGGCCGCCTGCCCACCCCGCTCCCCTCCCACCCACACCCCCGCCCCACCATATTCCCCGCCACCCCCCACCTTGGGCTCCCACCCCAGCAGTGTCTTGGCCTTGGTGATGTCGGGCCGCCGGCGGGAGGGGTCGTCCGCAGTGTTCTCCACCCAGATAAGCTGCAGGGGGTGGTGGTGTGTGTGGCGTGTGTGGCGTGGTTGGGGGGGCTTGAGCAGAGCCTGGCTGGGGCTGGGCTGGGTGGGACTGAGCAAGCCAGGCATGCACACTGGAGGGCAGCAGCAGCACGGCCCGCTGCTCGGTTATCCGGTGGCCAAGCCCCCCCCCCCACCC